CCGACTAATACATAATAAAATGACAAGGCTTGCAAATTCGGCGGGCCGGCCGCAGCTGATCGCCTTCTGAATTTTGCCTATTTTCTCCCACTTCCACGCGTACCTCGCCACCCAGCCTCCGGAAAATCAAAACCAGATAGTTTGCGTAGGTCGATACCAAAAATGATCAAGATTGCTTGCTTCTAACGACCTAAAGTGACTCCGTGAATTTTCACAAGCGCCCCAAAATCGCCATCTTCATAGGATGTGTACCAAAGTGGTTATCATAACTTCCGTATCAAATACAGCCCGCATATCAGGCGTTTTATGAGCCAAGCAAGGCGAACGCGGTATTTTGCGCGAAGCGCGAGAGACGAGGGGAGGAGAAAAATAAAGCGACTGTTACCAGTCCATTGTTCTGACTCATAACTTCCGTATCAAATACAGCCTGCATATCAGGTGTTTTATGAGCCAAGCAAGGCGAACGCGGTATTTTGCGCGAAGCGCGAGAGACGAGGGGAGGAGAAAAATAAAGCGACTGTTACCAGTCCATTGTTCTGACTCTTCCGCACACCAGTATTGACTGACGGCGGGAACGTCAAAAGGACCAATCAAAACACGATACATTCCTTGAAAATTGTCACCATTGTGGCTACCAGAAATACAGATAGCAGCATAAACCACAGGAAATATCAACTACGAGGGCATGAATCACCTTCAATAATGTAAGACTCAGTGGGGCAAAAGTCCGATTTGCTCAGTCAAAGTTTAGTTTATGTCTATCACAGCGGCAAGAAAGAAAAGGGGGAAAACCTGTTGATCAAAAAAATTCCAAGGTCATCTTTCACGAACTTAGGGAGTCGTTCTTGGCCCTCGGACATACATGCAAAGTCATACCCCAATCGTGGTACAAGTTGTGGGGGGAGGCTGATGGCCCCCCTCCCCCCGCAGGGTTTTTGATCTGTTGCAGTATTTCGAAACGATTTTGCCTTCAGTGGAAATCCTTTGATTTTCTCCACCAAATGAGGTATATTTTATAAGTGGTGGCGCTGCTGGAGATCTATGACGCCACCAAACATGGTCGCCATCTCCGCCTCCATCTTGGATTTTACCAAGAATTAGAGATCAGGTAAGAACAGTGAGAATTAATAATTTTTTGCGCTTAACATGTAAAATAACACATAAATAATTACTTTGCATCATTTTATCCACAAGCTTTACTTTTATTCCTGAAAGATGTTGGAAAAACATGCATTTTTTACTCAAAAATGGCTTGACCATGTGCTACTTTTGACGTCATATCTCGAAACCATGGTAACTGATCATCACTTGACTTGTCTCAAAATGCGCGCGAGGAATAAACGAACGGCTACAGAAAACTTCATGTGCTGATTTTTTATCGTCTAGGAAAAAAAAAATCAGAAAAACCTTAGGGGGGTGGCAACCGCCCCTAACCCCTCCCCCTCGTACGTCCGAGGATCAAGTCCAAGAGGTGAGTAAATCAAGTTTTTTCAAAACCTAGCTAGAAGCAATCGAAGAGCACCTTTTCTATTAAGCAATAAATAACATACCCTTTGTTTTTTCGTTTATTCCTGTAACATTTGAAAATATACCAAGAGCATCGTCAAAAGAACATGACTGCGAAACGGCCATTTTGTTCCAGACAAACCACAGGCCACCCAAGCTCGGTGCATAAATTACCGCGAGTTTCGATACTGTTTTGCATGATACTTTGTACGAGAAATTCAATGATAGTTGTTAAAACGTAGAAATATATATACGCATAAATAAAGAAATAAATTATGCTTACGTAAATTTGGGCCTGTCGTTGCTTTTTCTGTGTAACCTGGGCTCAATTCCTAGCCGTTTTATACGGTTTTGCGGCTTGTTGCTTGTACGGCGGTGTTGTTTTCCTACATAAAGCGAAGCAAAGCAGGTGATTGTTTGCAGTTTCAACTCACAAACCTCTCCAGCATCAAAGAACCGCGCACCGATTCACCATGAAAGCGCCAAATCCTTTAGGCCAGGTCAGTCTCTTATCTCTTCCCTCGTCATGGGTATTGCGACGTGTTTTTTGTGGGAAAATGTATTGAACGTTTTGGGTTCTGGGCAATCCGATGTGCGCTCAGGAACCTGGCCTCGATGACTACAACCCTGGTCAAAACTCTTGGGACACTTACGCAATAGCTTGTCAAATTGAGGCATCTTCCCTCCCCCCTTCCCCCTCGGTGCAATGTTGGCGTTATGCATTGAAGTTTTAATTCAACACAATCAACACTGCTTGGGGGAGAGGGGGAGAGCACAAATAGCCCCTTATAACAACATCTCCAAGCCTTTTTAAGAGGTAGAATACGAGTTAATTTAGCAAAGTGCGTCTTTGTGCCTAATTTCCTCAAGTGTCCCAAGACGTTTTGACCAGGGTTGT